TCTCCATTCTACTTTCTCTCTTTTTAACTACTCTATCTTCTTCTATCTTGTCTCTGCTATCATATATAATAGTTAGCGTTCTTACTGTACTTGTCTTGCTTACTTCTGGTTTTCCTTTGCCTGTCTGTAGATATTCTGGTATCTAATTATAATTGTATTTAGTATTTGATTTCTTCTTCTTATTACTCTTCTTACTTACTAGTATCATATCTGTATTTCTTCCTTTCCAGTTCTTTGATTCTTCTGTTTTACCCATTTTGATTCTGTTCCTATTCAATAGTCAACTTTCTTTCTTTCTTTGGGAGTCTGAGGAACAAGAGAGGGGGATGGCATGAACATATATGTTTTGGCTTTGACTCATAAGAATATGCGCTATGTAGTAGTTTGGTTGCTTATCCGTTCTATCATGAAGTTGCAAGAATGGCTATTGGCCCTACCAAACTACTACTCGCCCCAACTAATGGCTACGTAATTTGCTCTGCAAGCTTTGTTGACATCGTAACAGCGAGCCAATCAAACTGGATTTGCTGACTACGTAGGAGTGGCGCAACACCAGGACAACTGTATCGATAGGCCAGGAGACAACATGGTGGGTGCCCTTTGCCGCAGTCGATACGATACTTACTCATGCCAACTACATGAGAGGATGGCACTGTTGGTGGAAGACTGGAAAAGCATCGTGTTCTCATGCTACCGTCCCATACTGCTACCTCGCTCTATGCAACACTAGGGATAGCCACTGGACCAACTGGCCCAATACTAGCCCCGATATTCGCTTGATGCATCGTCCTCGGACCCCATTGATCCGGGTAATCCACGGCAGTATGAAACATTTGGTAGTTGGCCCACATGATAATATCTCCCTCTTCTACCTTCGGCAGCATGATGTATTCCGGCTTCAGAATGCGTTCTTGGATAGGCTTAAGCCACGCTCTTATCTCGGCAACGTCATCGATGATAGTGGGTTCCTCGTCTTCGCTAGATCGAACGAATGCGCGCCGGACGCAAATGCCGTGGACCATAAAAGCGCGCTCGCCTGTTACGGGGTTCACCCATACCATTGGGTAGCGTTTGATGTCTTTTTCGTCGTAGGGTCCAAGGTCCTCCGTTGACTTCTCTTTACCTTGACTCACTAGGCCTAGACCGTGAGACTGGCCTTTGCAATCGCCCATCCATTGGTAAGGGTGCGGTGCATACTCTACCCATGAGTGGTCGGCAATTTTCTTCTCTTGCTCTGTCATCAAGTCGTATGTCTGTACGTTGCTGAAGAAGGCGGTCAGACCGGGTTCGGTCTTCATAGTCAAGCCACTGCCGTCGTCCCAGTGTACGGTCAGTTCTGGAGATGTGGGCCGCTTGATGCAGCGAAGGGTGGTGAACCAGGCCGGATCACGCGCGTATAGTGGTGCATCGATGTGCCAGCGTTGGAAGCGTGTGTGGCCTTGCGCGTACTCATCATCTGGAAGCGGTTTGTCGTGCCATGCGTGTGCGAGTTCCTTTTTGATGGTTGCATCTTTGAGGCCGTAGTGGTCTGGTCCTTGGTAGCCTTTGCCGATTAGACGGACGTTCTCTGCGCCGGGTATACCGACAACATCGCGTCCCCTCTGGGACTAAGTCAGCAAAGCGTACGACCTGGTTGGAGGTGACTCTTACCGATAGTAGCCCACCCTGTTTGTGGAAGGTCTCAACATCGCCATGGGAATGCACATGTGGTGCTTTAGGATCGAAGCGTGTGACAAGCTCCCATTGCTTTAGGGGCGCAAGGTTCTTCTGACCCTTTACAACAACAAGCTTGTGTGTCCAGATCGCGTCTGAGAGCGCTTTGACGTCGGAGTCTACAACACAACGTTAGCTGATCGCATTACCATCGTCATGGCGCAGTGTGTTTACCACTAATGTTGTCGAGATCGAGGTCATCGATCACCGCTCCGAAGTTGTGCTTCTCTTTGGCAGTCTTGTCCATCTCCTTCACCACGAAAGTGGGCTCAGGGGCCAGGATACCTGGTGCCATGATTCTTGGCCGATGTCGAGGAAAATAATGACCGGCGATCTTCCTTCTAGGCGGTGGTCTCTTGCGGTGAGTTTTGAACAGAAGAAGCGAAAATTCAAGTGGTGAGAACGCAAAGCCCGATGTCATAAGTGTCTACACCATCAGCCTTGCTCTATAATTCCCACGCCACATATATGCTCAAAGTCGATACCATGTTGATCCACCCACTCTTACTCGACGGCTATCCTCGCATTCCCATCTAAGCACTCGGTCGTTATCAATGACCCTATCTCAGCTGCGCTTGATACTGCAGCGATGCATCTACCGAACGTGCGGGGGATGTTTCCTTGGAGGCGCCCTCGCTAAGATCCATGGACGTTATCTTATCAGCAGCCAAGTCCCGGCCGAGAGTCAACACATGGAAGCTGCTGCGCTCGGCCGACTTCGTAATCCGTGATCTGTGTGACCGCGGTGGCTGAATAGCCAGGTCAGTCGAAAGCAGTGGGCGCATGTTCGCATCCGACTGCGATGTGGTGAGATAGCAATCGCTGACCAGGCGTGATAAGCGCGGTCACCGAAACGCGAGATGCGAGATGCAGTCAGCTGTTTTCGTGATCATTGCATATGGTGTTCGCGTTATGTGAGATAGAGCCTTCGAGCACATTTGCGACGCGTCGAGCTCTTTGCCGTGATCCTTGGTGTTAGAACGCGCTACAGCAGTTTCCCGACGATCTTGGTAGGACCTGCAGGAGATGGTTGCAGAATTATAATGGCGCATGCTGTGTAGTGGTAGAATGGCTGCAATGAGGTATCGAAGAGCGCTGCTGAAGAAAACCTCGTTCTACCTAGGTACCCAGGTAGGGTTCGATGGGCCCGGGTATGATCACGTGATTATGGCATGACTCGCCACGCGTCATCGATACATGTCGCAAGCACACGCGCACGTCTGACATCCATAACTTTCACGCGTCTTGTGTAACACTATATTGCAGCTACCTCATCATGGGGCTTTACTACGCGCCCTAGCTTCGTCTCGAATCTACCTAGGTACAAACTCATGCCATGGTCCACTCACCCCGAAGGATGATCGCTCGCCGCAATGTTGCACTGATGCATCACACGCGGTCCATACGACTTCGGAAACTCTGTCTGCAGGCAAGACAGTGTTAGCCACTATTGCATCACTGGATCTTCACGAAGGAAGATACTTACGATGCTGTGCCATAACGCGCGGTTGTACCACAGGATGACATCCTGCTCTTGATGCGGGTGCGCATATATGTTCTCGGGTTGCAACGCCGGTCGCATAAGTCTGTTTGCAATCAGCTTCCGAACGAAGAACAGCAAGGCGCTACTTACTTATCGAGGAACGCTCTGACCTCTCCCAAGTTGTCAACGACTGTCTCAGCTCCACCCGGGCTGCTCTTGAGATGTAGCTTGAGAGCGCCCTGGCCATGAACTTGCAGCGACTTCTCCCCAGTCTTCGGGTTCGTCCATACCATCGGGTATACACAGACCTTGCTCTTCTCCCATTTCGGCAGCTCGTCCAGTGGCTTCTCAAGCCCTTCGGTTTCGAGAGAGTGGCCAAGCCGGGTACTGTGCGCTTTGGACATCCAGACGAACGCATGTGGTGCGTACTCGATCCTGCTGTTCAGGACGATGTTCCGTGTGCCCTCATCGAGTAGCGCCAGCGCACGACTACCAGCGACCATCGCCGTAGCTCCCGGCGCCATCTTCATCTGAGTTCCAGCCTCGTCCTCCCAACGCACAGTCACATCTGGGCCCCTCGGGGTTCTCACGGCTAGCAGGCAACCTACACGTGGTGGAGGAATGTCATACAAAGAGCCATCGAAATGCCATTGGTAGAAACGCGAAGCACCAGCTTCGCGCTCTTCCGCCGGAATGTGCGGTGGAAGATGGAACTCTTCGTGATCGATGCCTTGGACTTCGAAGCCTGGCGGAAAGCCGAAGTGGCCTTCAGGGACAGGGCCGCGTCCGAGGATATGGACTTGTGGCTGCACCGGGATTGCTGGACGCTTGGGAATGCCGTAGAAGTCGACCCCGTCGTGATGGGTGAGGAAAGGGTCGTGGCCGTGAGCAAAACCACCTGTTGTTTCTTCGCGGTCGAAGCTGATACGAATTTAGATCGAGCAAGCACAAATACGTTTAATGACTTACTTTGCAGTAAGCAGATATTGCTGCTGCGGCTTCAACATTTGTGGCTGCTCCTTGAACACCAAGAGTTTCCACTTGTGTAACGCATCGGAGACGAACTCGAAGTCTGCATTCGTGAAGTTGTTCAAATCGATGCCGTAGATCTCGGCGCCAAAGTCTACATGGCTACCTTCCGCGTGCTTGATGGGCACGACGCGTCCGGTGGTCGTATCGGCATGTGGGAGATCGAGAATGGGCTTCTCTGCTTTGAGACGCAGACAGTTGGTCTCTTCGGTTATGACTGCTGTAACGACCATGGTGTTGAGTGGCTGAGTGAACTTGAGGTTGACAGGCCTTCACAATCTGCATGTAGGGGGACATGGGAATAGTCTGGAGATTATTGTTTACTATATGACTTATCAAGCCTAGCTCGAGTCCATACGCCTGACTTACCAGTCCGATAATGCTTCTATGGCGACACCCCGAGCTGCGCATCGTGGTGAGGATGCGTTGATACCACCTCGGGCTCCTATCAGCCAGCCTCGGGGTCTCGGCCGAGTATCCACCTCCGTCACTTTCGGGTATAGCCGTACTCTCATGAGGCTGGCTAAACCGCGTGCGGATATCATGCATACGTTAACATACACGCCTCGTTCGTCACAGGAGTAAAGACTTCGTTGCTCACGATCAAAGACTCGTATCTCACGGTCTCACAATGATTGCTCGCACCCTCACATCCTCGTGCTTCAAGACGACTTCGGGTACAACCACACATTACCTACAAGCTGGTGATCCTTCAGGTCCGCTTCTGATATGTCTCCATGGACTTGGAGGCTCTACCGAAACATTCGCGCCACTTATGCCCTCTCTACCTCCCACGTACAACATTATCCTTGTTGACTTTCCGGGCTTCGGAGATTCGCCACTAGCAGGCGTCAGGAAACCACTTTCCGTCGAAGGGCTCGTTGTCGACTTGGCCGACCTTATCGCATCTTTACGAGGAAGCTCGAATGGCTCGGCCTCGTCCAAGGTTGTCATCTTTGGACATTCCCTCGGCGCCATTGTCGCGTTGCACTATGCTGCGAAACATCCGCAGTCTGTTGGAGGTCTCATGCTACTCGGTCCCGGTCGAGCGGCTGGTCACGTCCCCGCTGTACAGCGGCGTATGCTTGATCTTGCGGCCGCGGTGAGAAAGGAAGGCATCAAGTATGCAGCGGATATTGCGACCAAGTCTAATTTCTACGACAATAGGTACGCACATGATGAGCCCAGAAAAATGTTGAGACCATGCTAACAATTAATCCGCAGCCAAGACCGAAAGGTAGATCCAGCAGCTCGAGAAGCCGTAAGGCTCGATGTGAGCTCTGCGGACCCAGAAGCCTATGCGCAAACATGCGAAGCTATTGTGGATAGTAGCCACAAAGACCCGCAATACCAAGCCATCACATGTCATATAGTCTTCGTGGCAGGAGATAAGGATATGATCAGTCCAGTGCAGCGGTCGCAAGATCTCAGTATATTGGTTGGAGGAAAAAGCTGGGTACATGTTGTGAAAAGTGGTCATCAGCCGATATTGGAGGATCTTTCTGGCGTTGAGAAAGCTGTGCAGCAACTAATGGAAGCCGTCATCGAATGAAACGTGTTGACTCTTGTAATTGCCCGAACCGACCACGCGAGTGATGCGCAATGTGGTTTTCATCCTGTATTGAGCGATGCTGCGCCGGGTACTACTCAGTGGAAAGAATATTTGCGAGACATTACGCCAATGAGAAATCATAATTTGCTAGGTACAGAAGATCATCGAAACTGTTGGTACCTGCGAAACCGGACGCTGGGTAAGGCAATGCAGATTGGGGCTGTTCAAGGGTTCTGGCGAGAGGATTGCTCTCTCCCGAGTTGTATGTAGGAGGTCGATCGGCACTAGATCCCGATGCTGCTGTGAGACGTGGCGAAGGGTAACTGTCGGCATTGTTGGTCTGATAGAAGTCCCTAACGAGAGCAGAAACATCGAGTTTGGCAGCGGGTGTACCGTCGTGATTCCGCTTTCTTATTCTTCGAGACAAATACTCATGCGACGCCTGAGCAAGCAGAGCTCTGAGGAGTCTGACACCTCTGATCGCAATCATGCTCTCCTCGCGCCGCTGCAGGATCTCTACCACCTCTTCAACAAGTGTGCGGTGCTCAGAACTCTCGTTCTCGTTGATCTCACGATGTAGTACGTCGAGTAACAGGGTGATGGATGCAGCGACGGCAAATGCTTGGTGAATCCACAAGGTGGGGCCATCTTCCCCGATCAAGGCCTTGTACTCCTTGACAATCGTTTTAGAGGCTGCGAGACATGTTCGGCGGGTGAACGCAAAAGCAGGATTGACGAAACTGTCCAGTAGAAAAGAACGATGAATCATGATGATCTTGTGACTCGACGTAATGGCTAGAGCGCGCCGCGCCCATGGTACCCACGTGGGCCAGCTCGGATCCAACGGTGCATTGGCCATGAAAAGTGGTCTTTCACGGGTGGCTAGTTCTCGAAGTCGCGCATCCCAATGCAAGACCGATTCGTAACGTGTGTAAGGTGTATTGCATGACACGAGGCCGTCTTGAAGCTGGGGCATGATCAACGCGATGTTGCGCAAGAACAAAGAATAGCTTGTAGTAGTAGGAACATCCATGTCAACGGCGGCCAGATTATGGTCGTGGCTGTTCAGCGGTGGGGTTGATGTCGAGTATCTTGGAATGACCAGGTAGCTCTCCGAGAACGGTATGCTGAACCAGTCCTGGCTGCAAAGTTGACACCAAACTCTACGACCAGTCTCATTTGCTACGACACCTCCACTGGCGTCTGGCCCTAGGCGATGAATGCCTAAAGATTGAGCAATGCGTACAGCAGTTGCGAGATGGATGCTTTGCTTTGTACTGAATCCTAGGAGGTGGGCTGACACGGTTGCCGTGGCTATAGCTTGGCAAGAAAGGATGCTCAAGTTACTCGTATAGTCCGACCGATTAAGGCAAGTGAAAATAGCTTGATACCATCGTCGCGAGAGCTTCTGTCGCTCGGCCTTGTCAAATCCCCACGATTGCGCTCGCAAATCGGGTGCGCACGCAAGACTAGCAGCCAGTATAGCGAATAATAGAGCTACCCATTGGAGATCCGTGGATGGTCGTTCGATAAGCCCATTATCTCTATCGTAGAAATCTTGGAGTTGCGCCTGGAAAGTAGGAACGAAGTAGCTGCCATGGTACCACAACAGGCTTTCGTGGTGGTACTCTACCAACTGTCGAACTTGGTGGGGGCTTGGAAGAAGTAGTTGAAGCACCGAAAGCTGGGACAAGTCATCAAATATGCCTGAACCAACTTCAATCGGATCATCATCCACGGGCTCGAGGGACGCGACTGTGTGACAGTGAGGCTCTTTCCTTCTTCCCCAAGCGAGGAACTCCAGTACTGTCGCGGTATCTCGAGAAACAGTAGCATCGTCAGGCTCATCTGCGGACTCATCGGGAAGCCCATCGTTTGGTGTTTCCGGCTGCAGAGTTCCGGGCGGAGTTCTAACGATCGTGGGGCTTCGCTGACAGGTTTCGCTTTCTAGCTGTGCGACCCGTTGTCGCAAATAGTCGAGCTCACATGATCTTCGGTCGAAAGGGCGTGTTGGAGAGCTTACATCGCTACGCAATGCGTCGATACCGCACGTATCCTTTTGACCCCGTCTGATGCAGTTGTCGCAGGGTATCGTCTTACTGCACTTGACTTTCCGCTTCGCACAAGCTGTGCACGTCAACCTGCTTCGCGAATGGGACGCCATGCCGAGGCGAGATCAAGCGGACAATCCGGCGCCATAGTCAAGAAGGATGAGGTCTCCAGTGATAAACACGGAGGTTGCGAGATGGTCGCCTGGAGATAACCCTGGAGCGAACTGATAAGCGCCGGCACTAGCGCGCGGCCGAGCTTCCCGAGGTCCGCTCCCATCTTCCTATCCGGGTGGCGTGCGCTTGCCCAGATGCATATCATCCCAACGCGTCTCATCACAGCATAGTAACTTGCCATCGAATGCAGCAACACGATAGCGATATGGGCAAGGAAAGTATACTTATCTTTGATAGCGACGCGACATGGTCCAATCACGTCAACATGAATGATAAGATCAGCCCAGACTACCCCATCTTTTCCTCAGCGCGGTGCGACGTAAGCATAGCTGTCTATCTTCGACAGTTGCCGCGAAATGTAGCGTAGGCATCCTTAATCTCATAAGGAGAGGATATCGTCCAGCTTATGTGTCAGATCGGCCACGGGCGCCACTCCGCTGTACTTCGTCGATCACACATCGATCCGTCATCGCCCTAAACAAGTCGCTAGAGATTCCATCACTGAACAGAGGAAGATATCTTTTAATTACATGGGCGGATACCAAAACAAGCCTCTCCATAATGCACATTTCCGGCGACGTACGCAGTCGCAGCCATGCGGCAAAAGAGAAGATGAAGCTTCGCATGATGCAGCCATCGAGCTGGCAACTTCCTAAGCAAAACAGCAGCATCGCACCGCCCGATGTATGGACCAATGCCGATATGGAGCCAGTTCCACCGGAAAAGCGCACTTGGGGTAAGAGCGCATTCGTAACGTACTGGTTCAGTGACCTTGTTACCATATCGACTTGGAGTTCAGGATCTGCCATCTTTACACTTGGTAAGTGCTCGATCATCACAGTTATTTGGGGGTCATGATATTGATTGGAGTAGGTCTGACGGCAACCGATGCTGTGCTCATAACGCTCGTGGCGGGTATATGCAACGCTATACCCACAGTATTGAACGGCGCCATCGGCTCGAATTTACACATTCCATTCCCCATTGCCTCTCGCGCCAGCTTTGGTTACTGGTTCGGCTACTTTGCCATCGTGAGCAGAGGCGTCTTGGCCATGTTTTGGTTCGGAGTTCAAACAGCCAATGGAGGTACATGTGTGACCGCGGTACGTTATACTGAGCATGGCCTGATGGTTGCGTTTTCTGACATATCTTCCTAGATTCTTAACGCTATCTGGCCAAGCTTCCGCGATATACCCAACCACTTGCCTGCTTCAGTTGGTCTCACCACGGCTGGGATGATCTCATACTTCTTGTACTGGCTCATTCAGTTTCCCTTCCTACTCATTCCAACGCACAGGCTACAGTACATGTTTTGGGTGAAGACAGTCTTGTTGCCACCGGTAGCTATCGGGATGACAGTCTGGGTTGCAGTGAAAGCAGGCGGTAATGGCACTTTCTTTACACGCCCGGCCTCGGTGCATGGCGCTGAAAGGGCCTGGCTCTGGTTATCGAGCATGACAAGCATTACTGGTGGATACAGCACCCTCGCTGTCAACATTCCCGACTTCTCCCGCTTCAGCAAAGACCCTACAGCGCAATACTGGCAGATGCCGGTAATCCCTTTCTTCAAGACTATGGTCGCTCTTATGGGGATCGTCTCTGCATCCGCAGCCCAAGAGATCTGGGGCACAGCCTATTGGACGCCACTACAGATCATAGATACTTGGGATACGCCTGGTGGCCGTGCAGCCGCCTTCTTCTGCGCTTCCATCTGGTTGCTTGGGCAGCTCAGCGTCAACATCAGTGCGAACGCCGTCTCTTTCGCCAATGACGTCACGACACTAGCGCCAAAGTACGTCAATGTGCGTCGCGGGTCGATTCTTGTCGCATTCATCGGCGGCTGGGCGCTATGTCCTTGGATTATCGTAGCTTCCGGCAAGGCGTTCCTTAACTTCATGAGCGCATATGCCATCTTCATGGCGCCCATGGCCGGCATTCTCTTTACAGACTACTGGCTGGTAAAGCACAGGAAGTACGACGTTCCCGCTTTATACGACCCAAGAGGTATCTACCGATATGGTCGCTACGGTACAAACTGGCGTGCTGTTGTCGCAACGTTCGTTACCATCATTCCTCTGCTGCCAGGTCTAGCCAACAAGGTCAACCCAGATTTGAAGCTTTCGGCTGGTCTCCAAAACCTCTTCACGTTCAACTGGCTGTACGGGTTCTTCCTGTCCATCTTCTTGTACTACTTCTGTAATCTGTTCTTTCCTGCTCGGCAAACTCTGATTCCACGTGTTGTCACTGGATTTGAGTATCTGGATGGGATTGAAGTTGACACGGAGGCAGGAAGCGTGTCGCAAGATGGGAAGAATGGGGAGTGTAAAGATATGCCCGAGGCGAATGTGTCTCCTCGGCCTTCGAGATAAGCTCAAGACTACGGCAATTAGAGTACCTACATGATATTATGTCCGGTAGCATAGAAGGGGTTGCACAAAATGACCTCGATTCTGTAATCATTACTTTCAGGCATGGAACAAGGTTCCATCTAACGACACCCCAGTAGTGAAAGGATCCCAATGTGAAGTGGAGAACGGGAATAGCAGCGACATCGGATCAGAATCCAAAGTCCTCCAGTTTCTTCCCATCCTCAAGTCCCAAGGTCCAGATATCCACGTCAAGAACTTCACCCGACCACCGAATACCACGTACTGTCCTGACTCCATGATTCGTGAACCCCAGTCTGAGGAAGAGCTTCTTCGCCTCTTCGTTTGTGTCGTCGGTCAAACCCGCAATCTCTTTCGCACCTTTCTTCTCGCGAAAGTACTTGATCAACCCCTGTGTAGCTTCCGTCGCGTATCCCTTCCCGTGATACCGCTCCAACATGTTGAAGCCGACGTCCGGCATGGTGGGTGCTTGCTCGCCTGCAACACGTCCCAGTTGCATGCTCACGATCCCAATGTGTTCTAATTTTTCTCTGTGAGAATGGAACTCCGGTCTCATCGTCTCCTTCATGTGACTCTGGTTTCAAGCTGATGATGTACCGTCCATAGCCCGTCGCACGAAGCTTTTCATCTCCAGAAGCGGCGATCTTTCGCGCTGCTTCGCGATCTGGTACGTCTTTAATTACGCTAGGGTACCGACGGACAGATGGAGCACCATGGTAAAGTGCAAGAGTGAAGTCGCAGTGTTCGTCAGAGGACGGATCGAGGTAGGAGAGGTAGAGGCGGGGAGTTGAGATGTGGAAGTCGTATGGTGACATTTCGAGGCTAAGCAATGGTCGATTGATGCTTGGTGCTGTGCTCAAGCTTAAACGCTCCCGAGCCTTATTATAAGCATATCTCCGACGCGTCGACGGAATGCTAACACCGGCCTGGACTCGGATGAGTCACCTAGGCTGACCGTCCAGGCAACCAGAATGCTCAGCGCTAGGTAGTATGAGGAAGCTCACACGCGGTGTTGCTGGCATCCTATGCTCCCTTTTCCGGATGAAGCGTTCTTCTACATGAACTCTCGGGTGACTCTACTCCGGGCTCACTTTCATTCGATGTTGTGTCCGGGGACTTTATTCCGATTATGCGCGCTCCAGGTCTACCGATATTGCGACAGAGACGGACATAACTGAGGAGTGAAATTCTAATCGCAGACATGAGTCGGGATTCCGATGCCAGCGCGATAGCTGTTTGTCGTGTTACAGATGAGACCCAAAGACACATGAGAGTGAAGCTACGAAGGGGTCGCAAAGCCACTAGGCTTGGAGCGGCAAGGCGTAAGATGATAGTGGGGAACCCCCGCCTTCCGATGATCTCTTCTTTTGATGCCTCGACACCTGGCTTCTTTAAGTCACCCAACGTCGTATACCTGAAAACGACATCATGGCGCCACTTTCGGGATCCGCCAAGAAGAAGAAGCAGAAGGAGAAGGAGAGAGAGCTCCAAAGGCTCAAGGTCATTGAAGAGCGCCAAGCAGGATCGGACACCAGCCCGGACGATGAGATCCCCGCTACCCAAGCCTACGGACCCTGGGACGAGCCAAAGGAGAAGTGGGATGCTCGCCTGATGGCTCAGCCCCCGAGCGATGCTTCGTGGGATGCCTTTGAGAAACGTGCAAAGGCAAGGAAGGGAAAGGCCATCGAGTACCAGCCTGCTGCTATCCCAGATGAGCAGACTATGCACGTAGATGCATCGACCAAGTTTGATAGCACTGCGAAGCCCGTTCAAAAGATCGTTTTCGCTTCTGGAATCAACGTGGACGAGTATGTCCAACTTTGTCTAGATTCGTGTTAACTCCTGCTGATAATATTCAGCACCATTGTCGACGTCATTGCCAATGCAGATGCTACTTTCCGAAGCGCAGTCCGTGTCTTTGTCGCCGGAGATGCTGAGAGGAAGGAGGCCATTGAGCTCACAAGCGCGGGCGTAGAGAAGTTGACCAAAGCTTTGCCTCAGCTAGAGATCATCGCTCTTCACGGCACATCGAAGCTCACGCGTACCGCATTCCCAACTATCCTCAAGAACTGCGCAAACATCGAATCCGTTACCCTGACCGTCGTCCAAGGCCAAAAATCCAAGCGCATTCGTCTCAACAGCACACTCGACTGGTTGACAGATAAGACTTTCGTCCCGAAGTTGCGGTACCTCGAGTTCCGTGGCGTCTACCATGAAGCATTCCGTCGCGAGTTCCTTGAGTTCCTCACGAAGTGCAGGCCTGCGCTGGAGATTGTTTTCGAATATGATAGGCCAGCTGTACTTATCCGAGACATGGAGACTATCCCTCTGGACCGCGTCCCTGCTGCCGGTAAATGAGCTACCATCATTTAAGCGAGATCTGTGCGGCTCTGAGCAAAACAGTCACAGCAGGCCCAATGGGAAGACCTGGGGACAAGCCCGAACATATCGGTTCGCAAAAGATGCGGTGCTCGCTACAGCTTATGAAGCAATCGAAAAGCCACGTGCAGGCGATCGGGGGTGATCACTCATCTCTCGATGACGAAGCAATAAATACAATGAATGAAAAGCGACTAGTCTCAGCTGAAACAATTCAACGCTACAAGACCTGCGGATCCGATGCGCGATACCACGTATGATGTTGACTTCGCCACGAAGCGTGCGCAATACCTTTGTCATCCCGCTCGGGAAGCGGAAGTGACGAGAAGGCCACTGTTCTCAATGGCAGTAGCCAGAGCGTTTTGTAAGCCGACGCCTCACATGTCCCAATGAATGATAAATGAAGTCATCCCGAAGTCCACATGCGTGCACCCAAAATTTCATCAACGGCTTGGTACGCCTGGTCTATTCCCACTAATCTCTACAACTAACACATGGCACCCTTCTTAGACCTCCGATCTATCAAGCTCCGACCGCGAGAGCGAGTGCGACGGGGAAGTGGACCCGGCCGCTGTCTTGATGGCACTTGTGCATCAGCCCAGACGCTAATGGGAGCTAACGCGGACTTTATGCACGCTGCTGACACTCTCAAAACAGCATCGCGCCAGAGAGAGCCTCACTACTTCCTTAACACCTTCAAACGTGATGGGGCTATGCTGCTTCTCGAAGCGGGGCTTGAATAGATAGGTCCGATTCGCGAGCTGTCATCGATCTGCATATATGCTGGCACCCGCTCGGAGGATGACATTCCCATACACGATTTTCCCCTGCCGACATGTCAGCAACTCCGATGCCATCTGGGTTTGACTATGCAGATGCTCCCATTGAGTTAGCCTGGTCGTCTCAGCGACCCGAGCTCCGTGATGAAACAGAGGATTGGATGGGTGTGACCAATCCAGTGGAGAGGCGAAAATTACAGAACCGCTTGAACCAGAGAGCACGGAGTAAGTTGTCCCGCAGATCGAGCGCCAAAAAGGAAGAAATTATGTTCTAACATGCTACTAGGGAACCGTGCACAAAAGAAAAATGCCCCAGCCAGACAGCCCCGCCGTGTTATCATACCAGAAGAGGCCAACAAGAGCGACACGTCGGGTCGTGAAGGCAGTTGCAGCACATCCGACCTATCCCTAGACGATCTTAGCAACCCAGATGTCGCCATAGCGCAGAGGTCATGCATGGCCGCCCACCCCAAGGTGCAGGAACTCATGCGCCGCTTTTCCGAACATGCCTACGCCAGCTACATGCAAGGCACACCCGCCCTGTCCCACTTACCGCTCCTACTCAAATACAACGTCGCCAGCGGTCTCGCGAGAAACGCCGATATCCTGGGAGTCACTGCGCAGTACTACGATTGGTATGGCATCTCGCCACTCAACAAACAAGGCCCGCTTCTAGGTTCCGACGCAGGGGCAGAATGGCCAGCATGTCTACAGCCTACTGAGCTCCAAGCCTCTATAGAGCATCATCCATGGCTGGATCTCTTCCCGTGGCCCAAAGTACGAGACAACATGCTGCAAGCTTTCCAACGAACGGAACCCATCGACTACGAAGATGCGCTATGCCATGATATCTGCGAGTACAACCATCTAGATCGCAATCCTATATTGATCGTCTGGGGACCTCCCGAGGATTATCGCAGTTGGGAGATTGACCCGATATTCCTGGAGAAGTGGGGCTGGCTACTGAGTGGATGTCCGGAGGTGTACGAAACGACAAATTATTGGCGTGCGACACGAGGAGAGAAGCTGTTTACGCCACAGCAGTGGCATAACACCATACAAAGCAGTTTGCCAAAGGAGCTGCACTACAGCGTTCATGACTGAGGCATCAGCAGAGCGCGGCCGTGAATCTGAATCTTGCGCACACCATAGCCTCGGATCGGAGAAGCGAGAAGGGTACGAGGCATGATTGCTCTGCATCGAATGGTTCGTGATTGCACGTACATGGCTAATAGCAGCTATCATGAATCCTGTTCACACGACCGCACAAGTCAAAGATTACTTCGGACGGCATCGCGAGAACGAGTTGCTACGAACCAACATCACGGGAACGGGTGCCAGAAGCATGCATGTCTCTATGCGGGCCAGTCTCAATAAGCTCGGAGCAAGTGGTGTGGATTCCGATGTACATACACTGGCAGAACGTCGGCGGCAATGGGTAAGCAGTATAGCATGAGGTTGAGAGCGGCGGACCAGGCGACTTATCAGACGGCGGCTTGAATCTATGCGCCATTCAGAAGTGTGGGGCATGCGCCGAAGCCAAGAGTGAGAGAAGTATAGTGCTTGCGAAAAGATGGAGGTTGGGGCTGATAAATGAGTGTATTTGGCTGTTATGCAGCTTTGTATATAGCAATAATGAACAGTATGATCTTGGACCATCGATATGTTACCGTATCGATGGAGATTGTAGCGATGAATCGCCATTCAACGCTGGGTGTGTTCCTCACCTATATATCATCTTTCAGTGACTAGCCATGACGCCATTGCCTAGATGTAGAACATAGTGTCCTTGAGCCTGGGATGGATCTGTACATCAGACTCGCTCGGGTCCAGCGACGCACCCCCAGCTGCCGAAGTCCCAGCGACGGAAGGGTTGGCACTTGGCGTCGGCGTGTCGAATAGGTTCGCCAAGTAGCAACGAGCCCGCTCACAGGCCAGATCGGCGTAGTATGCTGGCGGGCACAGACTGACAGCCTTGGTCGCACGACCGAACAGATAACACATGTTGTGGGTGAGGTCTTCCACGATGTCAGCAATGTTACCAAACTGTGGCGGGACCTGTTTCGCGTAGATCTGGCGGAAGATCTCGTCGTGAACGATATAGTAATGGCAAGGACGTGCTGTTCCTTGAAGTGCGGCGTGTGCTTGAAGGAAGAAGTCCCAGTTGCGAGCCTCTGTCACGCCCCGATCGACGACGGTACCAGGCTTCGTGTTGCCAGAGCTCTTTTCCCCAACACCATCGCAGTCTTTCTCCGCTGTTGGATAGAAGCGTGTCTTGTGTCGCTTACCACAGATGACAACC